CTAGGTCAGCAAAAGCTTGAGGTACAGAAGCAAAGAAGCAACAGGCTGTTAACGCTCCCTACAAAATATTTATAAAACATCTCTACAGAGGCTCAAGTTATGCCCAAAGGATTGCCTAATAATAAACTGTGAGCAACCCTTAAAAACTTGTGTATACCAGACCACCTTACCTGCATATTGAAGAATCTGAGCAGGAACTAACCCATTAAAATATGAAGCAACTAAATGATTCAAAATTGGGAAAGCCGTATGGCAAGATTCTACACTGCTACCATATCTATTTAACTTATATGGATAACATATCATAAGAAATGCTCAAAGAAATTGCTCAAAGAAATATTAACTATCTCAGATAAACTAATGATACTGCTTCAGTGGAAGGAAGTGAGGAAGACTGAAACAATCTCTTGCTGAAGGTGAAAGACAAGTGCAAAAACTAGTCTGACACTCAGTATTTTGTTTTAAAAAAATAATATCATGTCAACTGATTGTGCCAAGCGAGTGCAAATAAGTGAAGAAGTAATGGAAAAAGTATGAATGATCATGCTAGAGAAAATGGTTGAGAATCTCTTGGACAGAAAGAAAAACAAATCATTCAAAACTAAATGAAATAACACCAGACTACTCACTGGAAGCACTAATAACAAAGCTAAAGTTTAAACATTTTGGAAAAATAATGGCAAAGAATAAATCTTTAGAGAAGATGTTCACAGAAGATGCTTGTAAAAATCAAACACAACAGAAAAAGTAGCCAGAGAAGACAAGGTGGCAAGATTTTATCATGTGAGCATGACCCTAAAGAACTTCAAGAAGCAGTTACATATAGACCATCCTGGCAAACTGTTGTACATCACACCACAAAGAGTTGGAAATGAATGAATAACTGAACAAGAACAATAATAGTACATATAGAGTATACTGTTGTATCATACTATCAGAAAAGGTACCTTAGACCAGGGTCCCCCCAACACACCTTCTGCCTAGGCGGCTGGGTGGGGGGATACACATTGCTTCTCACCCCACACC